TGTCTTGGTGTGATTGGGGAAAATGGGAATGGTGAAGATGGTGTTATATATCTGCGGAGAGAGGAGGAGAAGAAGGAGAAGAATAGGGTCGTTGGGAGTTTGAGACATTGGCCGCAAGGAGCGGGTTTAATTTCGTTTGTGGTACTGCTTTTTTTCTTTACTTTTAATTTATATCCTCAAATTAGAATTGACTGAATTTGGAAGTGGTGCGAATAACTAACAACTAGATAACTTATTAATTACTATATCAGTGGTGCGAATAATTAACAACTAGATAACCTATTAATTACTACTAGTACAGAGTCCGTGCGATGAACGGGGTGCATAATTTTAAAGTTATTTATCCAGGCTTATAATTATATATATGAATAAAGAAAAATGTATGGGATATATATAGTACGTGATATATTTATTTGGAGATATATTATAAGATGCAATAAAAAATTATAATACGCAAGAAAATTTTACAATGTTCAAATACCCGTGGAAGCACCAGATATATTTATTTGTTTTATGATTTGATAATATAAACAAATCTATACTTAACTTTGACAAATAAAACAAATAAATACTTTAGTAAGTATTTAATGTATATACTAAATAAGAATATATTTGGTATACTCAAATACCAAATATAATCAAATAAGTTAAAGTGTACATTTTTATTTGGTATTTGATTTTTTTTATTATTAAAATTTTTTTATTATACTTACCTTTTTAAAATAAAACAAATAAATAAATCAATTAAATAAATAAAATATTATAATACCAAAATAGTAATGACATTTTATGCAGTTGACTTTTCTGGATAGTAAATGTAGTAAATAATCTCCTTTTATATAAGAATAAATTGTATAATACGGAAATAGTAATGCAATAAATGTTGTTGACTTTTCTTTATACTAAATCTGGTAAACGGTATACATTTTAATATAAGTATAGATAGGAAAATCTCTCTAATAAAAAGTAGGTAAACCGTATTAAGTTTCCCCAGAAATCGGACATTTGCAACTATTTTCTTCCTCCCTAATTTCCATTTCTATGTACAACATAAATCCCATGTCCTCTGCCGGCCATATATCAAACTTTACTTGACGAGGCTTCAAACGAATCGTCCAGCTCGCCAACGCTCCAACCAATGCTCGATTCAAGCTACAGTGATTCAATCAGGCAAACGAGTCGAGTCTCGAATATCATTTTAAAAGGCTCGTAAACTTAACAGGAATGAAATTATAGTTTACCAGCAGTTTGAATTTGTCGTTATCGACTTAATAGCCAATTTACGATCAACCCCTCGTTCATAAACAATGAATGACCTCTTGTTTCGTTTGCCTTTTTTTTTGTTTATAAAACCCTTCATTCTATTGTAGATCTTGTGCTCGTAATCAACAGAAATTTCAAGTCAAGTCAATAAACAGTGATGGAGAAGATGATGAACAAAATATAATTGTATACTTGTAGGTATATAAGAGTGTTTAGAGTATAAATAAGCATGCATAGATCTTTTATATAGAGGTGTTACCTTGTTGCGTAAATGCCCGAGCTACCCATTCGTACCAACCAAGTGTCCAAACTGCTCAATTCTATTAGGTCATGTGGTCTCATCCACTTGTTCTTCTTATCTTAATTATATTTCTTCTTATCTATTGAGTAGGGTGTTCACATTAGACTAACTTATTAAGTGGCCTAATTATGCTACCAGCTCGAATTCTTTTAAATCAAGTTGCTCCGACCTTCAATAGATAAGCCTACCTCTTAGCTCGTACATCGACCTCCAGACTTCCAGGTCCAGTTTTCATCAGACTAGCCGAGAGCCCTAGGTCGACCTGTTGGCGAGTTCTAGCTCTTACTTGTGAGGTCACCATCAAGTGATTCTTTGAGCTCCAGTGTCTTTGATGTCTGGCCGATCTGCTAATTCACCTAATCCCGTCGGACTGCTCTTTAGGTCGTTCACGACCTAGTATGGTCCATATCTTGGCCTGTAAACAAGCCTAATCGAGCTCGAGCTTAGGGTGCTCGAGCTCGAGCTTAAATCGAGTCGAGCTCGATTCGTTTAATAAACGAGCCTGAAATCGAGTTTGAGCTTGGCTCGTTTACCACTCATAACGAGTCGAGTTTGAGCTTTAACTAACTGAACTATAGAAATTATATAAAAATTCTCTTTCAAGCCTTATCAAGCCGAGTCGAGTTCGATTTAACCAAGTGAACTTTAATTGAGCTCGAGTTCTGTTCATTTNTGTAATTCCACCATCAATGTTGAATATGGCCTTAAAAACAACATTCATAACTGCGTTCTCTAATCTGACAAAATACCACAAAATTTAAGGAGACCATATGAGCGTCGTACTTCCCGCAACAAAATCAGTACCTTGGTTTGCTTCTCCACAGTAATCAACCACCGCCGCGCCGCCGCCCAACCCCACTGGTTTTAGTCATGAAACCTCCCGGCGGCGTACTCACCTCCGCTCGTCATCCGATACTACTGCCAATACGATCTGCTTTCTCCACGAGTTCTCCCCGCGTCTTCTGCCTCGCGTTAAGGCTCAGACCACCGGTACGACGCCGTTCCTGTCTAAGACTGTCGTGTTCATTGGAGAATACCGGCCGTAGTACGGCGTCGTACCATTATTCTTCCGCAACCAAAGACGAGGTATCGGACGCGCTGCCCGAAATTGAATCGCTCAATGTTGAAGTGAGAAGCCCTCTTATTCCAGCTTCGGTCCCTACATTGAGTTTGAGCGATCAAGCTTTCTTGATCCTTGCCTTCGTTGCGTGCACGGTATAGCTCCCTCTCCTCCTTTATCAATGTGATTCATCAAATTCATTATTTATTCCAGTTNTTGAAAAAAAAAAAAAAATGAAGCCAATTTACAATAATGAATGATAAGTTTTATGATGGGCAGACTTCCATTGCATTCGCCAGCCTTGTTGCTGCAGCTGTACCTACATTGTTTGTAAGTGTAATTTTATCTTTTCTACTATGTGTGCTAGGTGTCACTGGTTTATGTTTATGCCAAGTGAAGAGGGCAAAATAAATGGCATTACAGAAGCTAACTGGATGAAAGGATGGATTTGAAAATGAGTTTTGTGTTCTTTGATTTCCGTTTTCGTTATGCTATAGAATGCTTTTACATTCCACGTTTAATGAATCTAATGAGTAGGGCTTCATATTAGATTCTTGCTTGTTGAATTTGCATCAATGAACCTTAAGAGCAATGCTTTTATCTACAGCATAATGGGAAATTTTATGTTGCCTACATCTCTGCAATTTCACAGTAGCTTGTTTGTTGAGAAACTGAAATACCTAAGAGTAGAAGTTTACATTAATTTGTTGTTGTTGTTGTTGTTGTTGTTGTTGTTGTTTTCTTTTATATTTTTTGTATGGTTTCTCGTAGCCAGTATTTTTCTACGTTGCTTTGGTTTTTTAATATTTTAATGGTTAGGCAATGCAAAGGGCAGCGATATCTCTTGCAAAATTAGCTGATACTGCCCGCGAGGAGCTTCCTAGTACCATGGCTGCTATCAGGCTTTCTGGCATGGAAATCAGTGATCTCACTCTAGAATTAAGTGACTTAAGGTATTTCAGGTTTTTTTTTTTTGTTTGCACTTGGTTTAAACAGTCCACTTGACTCTACGATTGGAAACAAATAATATACTTCCTATGGTGATGAATTGTTCTGAAGAGTGTGTTCATTTTGCATTGATGTCAATGAGGGGAAAAAAAATGCAAAGGAGCACTATATTCTCTGAAGAAATTCAAAGAAATCGTCTCTGCCTCCTGAAGTGCTCTTTTTGTTATGTATTGCAAAAGATATAAATAACTGGGATTTGGATTGCATTGCAGAATCAATTTTAGATTAACCTTAGAATTAGAAGAAACTGATTTCAAATTACAGAAGTTGCCTGTTTTAGTGATTGCAATCAGCAAATTATCAATGATATGTTTTAAGTGAAGTTTCCTGCAAATAGAAAAAATATTCCTCATTGTAGGTGCATAAACTAGAAATAACAACAGTAATGGGTGAACTTTTTACAAGTTGATACATGAATACTATTATAAGTATTTCTGACCATTTTGTTGTGCGAAATGTTATACTTATACCTAACGGATACTAATACTTAACTCTACCTATGTTTTTATTTATTGCTTTACATCCAAATTTCTTTACAGTCTAAAGATGAGTAGTTCAATTCTAATTAACTCATAACCAGGCTCAAATGTTACGAATATTATGAAGATTATAAATTTGTTTGGATATGTGACATTTTATTAAATTATTGAACAATAAGAAATATGATGATTGTACTAGTGTATTTGGAAATTTGGGATCGTATTGTTTAACTAAGTCTTGTTCAAATAGTACATATTATTGTAACATGCTGATGGACTCACGCAGAAGCTCAGAATGAGCTTTTTAGATAGTGACTTTGCCTGCGGATTTAGCTGCTGGCCTCCAGCTTCCTCAATTATTTAATACAACCACATCTCTAAATAATTTACATTTATCTACGGCGTTTAACATGCCTTAAGATATTAATACTTCCATATTTCTTGATATTAATAATCTATTCTATCTGTGTTCAGCCATGAAATAGCAGATGGAGTGAACAAATCTGCTCAAGCTGTGCAGGCAGCACAAGCCGGAGTTCGGCAAATAGGTTCACTTGCTCACCAACAAACAATGAGTAAGAAGACATTCACTTCTTTTTTTCCCTTGACAATTACTTGAAAAGATGAAAGTAGTCTCTTGAAATTTTAATTATTTTTTCTACGAATTTGGACCATAATAGCAGCACCTTTATTTGATTAAATAAATAATAAAAAAAAAAAATAAAGCCATGATTCAGGAAAGAGCTAGCTTGCCAATCATCTCACTACAACCGATGGTGGCAGGGGCCGCAAAGAAAACTTCCCGTGTTGTTGGTCAAGCCACCAAGAGCTTGTTGAATATCATCTCGAGAGGTGAGCGTAGCTTGGTGGACGAAGATGTTGATCCCACGGACAGGATCGAAAGTTGAGAATTTTAGCCAAAAGCGAATCTTAGAGCATCTCTAATTGAACATTGTCCATTTTTGTGTTGTATGGCATGGAGAAATGGAGAAGGGAAATTACAAAATTGTGTCTCCAATAGTTAATGTTAATTGTGGTATTATTTCTCTAGGAGAAGATAGATAAATTGAATAAATAATATAATATATGATATAAAGTATTTAGATACTTATAGACATTTTCCATGCCACATAAGATTATTCGTGCCATATGACAACAAAATGAAGCAATGGAAAGACCTCTTAGATGTCAGACTTTTAATTTTGGTAGAAAGCAGTTGGAAGGCGCTTGCGTGTGCTCCTCGCAAAATGAAAATATTCTTGCAGATAATTCTCAACTTTTTCTCTTGTGTATATGTGGCTTTTAAGTTGAATGTGTTCATTCATTTTAACTACTTTCGCATATTTTATCATAGTAAAGTAATTTCGACCCTTGCCTTCTTGGAGATGATTCTTCGGAGAACTGCATTTATATTATTCTGGTGTATTCTTTCCAACCTTATGTAAAAGAGATATTGGACAGTCTAGAAAAACTGACATGGTTATTTCTCAAAAGGAAAACAAAGAAACTAGAGGGCCCTAATGCCAAATAGTTGCCAAAAAGCATTCCGTTAATTAGTTAGAACTATTCAGACATTCCAGATTACCTCACCCTCTCTTTAAGGTTGGGTAAAATTCGGGAAAAAAAATTAATTGTATATCAATACCGATTTGATCCGAGCTCTTGGAATTGTTAGTTATGATTTTATTCAAGAAATTGTTTTGACCTGATTCTGGCGAATGGTTTGGACAGAAGAAAAATTTGCAAAAAAATCAAAATTTGATGATGGGGGAATATGAGCATATTCCATTGAAGTGGAAAGTTACAAAAAAACATTAAGGTCTTGGCCGGAGGTTAGGGTAAGGCGGACAAGAAGCCCAAATGTCATCCCAAGGCATAGCTAATAAGCTCAAAGCCCAAGTTTATTTGCATCATTCCAGGATCAAAACCCAACCTTTCGCATCATTCCGTCTCCTACTGAAGCAATATTATAAGTTGTTGAAAAAAATAACGATCATTTTGCATGTGATGTATTCTAGATTGTTCCTTTGGTATACCATTTTTGACTTCATGTTTAAAGTGCAATGTTCATAGATATCACTCTACGTTTGAAACATGATTGTAATCCATCTAAAAACGAGTGGAATGTTGTATGATTTTTTCGAATGAAAAAATCCGCCACTGTGAAATCAATAAATGATGTTTACAAGGTCTGCCCTGAGCTTCTCGAAAGTTCCAAACGAGTAAATGTACATCTTCTGTTCAATTGTTATGCACACTAATTACAAAAGAAGATACATGAATTACAAACGTGAGAGTTCACTGCAATGAAAAATGCTGTTGAAAGTTAAAAACGACATAGTTTTCTAGACATGCTGAGGTTCTTTTCAAAGTGCATGGCTTTGCCTTGGGCTGCATGTGTTCTGATGCATTATATCAAGATCATGGCCCCGTCTAAAATAAGCCGACTTCGAGCATGGAGAGTGAGAGTTATTATAGAGTGGTCGAAAAGAAAAATTCCATCGCAAGAAAACTATTCATGAGGCATAAGCATACACTTTTTATTTTTTAAACAAACTCCACTTTCTCTTCCAAAATTACAAAATTACAAATTACAAGTGCCAGGCATCACCAAACTCACCCATGTTTACAAAATCTTACATGCTTCCCTTTTTTCAAGACCAGCAGAGAAATTAGCCTATACAGTAGCCAATATATCCCAGCTATTACCCAACAATGTACTAAATGTAAGCAAGGCAAACACCATGACAAAAGGCCAGATTCCCAATAGTTGTTTTCACCGAGAGCAAAGGAGGTGAAATGAGACAAATAAATTCTCTTTGGATGTATATACAGGCTACAGCTAAGGAAGTACCAAAAGCAGCTAAATGCGACAAAAACCAGTGGTGCAGAAAAATAGAAAAATCCTGTGGTTAACAAATCAGGATACAGCAGCATGACAAGGCATTGTATTTGTATTCCATCATGACGACACTTTCTTCATATCCATCAGAAGTTCTGTTGGTCCAAATAAACCGAAATGGCAGCATGAATCCATCTCAGGAACTATAAAAAGGACCAAGAAGTTCGAGGAAAAGTGAAAAAGAAGTTCTGATAATACAATTTTCTCCATTTACCAAGTGTACATAATCTCAATTTTTCTTTTTTGTCTTTTTTTTTTAACCTATTGTTATAGCAGTGCGCATGATTTACTTGATTATTCTGAAGTAAAACCACAAGTGAGATCAAGGTTTATATAATATTCAACTGCTAAACAAAACTAGTTCAACAATTCAAAGAAACAGTGCCACTGAATTTACAAGAGTCTCATGATCTCTGAGGACATAATCCATTCCACTTTACCATGTATGTTCACAATTACATATGTGAATTCATAAGATATGAAGAGGAATCGTACACAGTACTGGTAAAAAATGAAGAAAACACCAACACATTCTTCAGAAGAGAACATACATAATTACATGTTTGATTATGATCACATAAGAATTGCGAGTTTCATCTTTAATTCCATGAATATTTTAAAAAAAAAAAATACTTTCGGATTGAAAGGAGTTTGCAATGTCAAGGCTTATAAGAGTTTTTAGATACTCAAGAAAAATGACAACAATATACCAACAACGTTATAGAAAGATCACAAAAAAAACACCATAGCAAGAGGCACACGTACAGAAGCAGGACTGCAGGAGAAAAGACTCAGCCGCTACAGTAACCGAAATAGAAAAATATGGAGCTGCGGAAATCTAGTGATAATATTTCAGTTAAATACCTGAATAAATCAAAATCATAGAAGCCAAATGCAATAAAAAGAACTATAAATATCTCTCTTATAGTGAAACCAAATAAACTCGGAGGATACAAAGAAGGATACAAATGGTGAATAATTTGCAAACACCAGCACGACCGCTTGCTGCCACATTTTGTGAACAAACAGAACAGAAAATCCAGCTTACTGAAACTTTTAACAGCTTACTGAAACTTTAACTCCAGAAGAAAAGAAAATATATCAGAAGGAAAGGAAACTTACCATAAGTTGGAAAATAACCAATCTGAATTTTGTCCAGTCTGTAAGAAGAAACCTCATACATATATGAAGAGAAGCATCAGCAACCTAAGTCCACCAAAACTTTTAGTCAGCAAAAACTTCAGAAATCATCCTTGTAAAACTCATGGGATCCCGCAGGCTCGTATCTGTCATCAAACTCATGGTGTGCACGACGAGAGCTACTATGACTCATTTTCTTCTTCCTTATCCTTTCGTCCCATTGCTCCCTTTTATCTTCGTGACTCTCTCTTTTTCTATGCCTACTTCTCTTGTGCTCGTCTCTTTCTTTTTCATGATTATAACCCTCCTCATGCCCATCCCTATTTCTCTTACGATGCTTATGCTCGTGTGACTCACTCCTTTTTCCGTGTAATCGTCCATCTCGCCTTCTGGAATAATCTCCTCTGTCTTGTCTATTTCTGTCAATGCCTTTATTGCGATCTTGGTGCCCACGATCCCAACTTGGATCTCGTTTTGTCTGTTGAATGTCATTCTCAAAGTCATAATCATCATGAGAAGAAGTATTAAACTCTTTCCTGTAATCAAGCGATCCTTCTCTGCTCTCATCAGGAATTTCACGATGGTTCTCCGATTTAGAAACATTAGTAGAGCTTGCATGCGTATTCATATTTTCTGTTCCAAAAACTTCAGTTTTCTCCACATTCTCTGAAATGTCACCAGTCCCACTGGCTTTCTTGATTTCCTCCATAAATTCTTCTATGATGTCCCTTGTCACCTATTTTCAGGCAATAATAGACAAAGAAAAAGTCCATTTATCTGAAGCAATTTATATATCACAATATTCAAAACGTTACTGAACAGTAAGATTATGGAGTGGATAGGAGAACTGACATTGAGACCAACCCAAAGTCAGTCTTCTATAGATTGTTTGGAATCACTGTTCAAATGAATGATATAGAAGTCCATTTCAAGATTAATTTGTGTTTGGTGGTTAATAAAAAATGGACTTCAGGATTCAAAAAAATCCATTTTGAACAAGGAATAGACTTTTGAAGAAGTATATTTTCTAAACGGACTTCTGCATAAGTTCTCCCGATAAGCACATAGTTAATGGTAGATATAACTCCCCTAACAATAATTAACACACAAATTTGAAGTCTGATGAACAAATTAATTGGACCCACAGTAAAGATGAAATGGAATAAATATACTCTCCGTCACAGGATTAATTGCAAAGCTCAACAGGTCTCATTTGGTAGATACATCAGCCTTAGTTTCATTTTCTTTCACATAATGAACTAAGTCCTCGAGGAAATTGAAACTAGTATAACAAAAATGTAACAGCGAAAACCTTCAGTAAAACAAAAATGTAACAGCAAAAACCTTACCTCTAATGTATTTCGCTTGGATTTCTTGCCACGATATGACATCCTCCGACGTTTGTAATCTCTTTCTTCAGCTAATAATTCCTCCTGCGTCTTTTCCGTACTGACCTGAATGATCACATAAATAACTAATATAGTTACCAAGGTAACAGTAACACTTGACTCCCTCTCATAATCAACCCAAAATGTAAAAATAATAATGGAAGTAATGGTATACGCATCATCAAATCTATCAAATGATTCTGCCCGGAGTTTATGGTATACGCATCATCAAATTTATCTCATCCTAATAACATGCAAAGGGTTCTAAATGAAACCCTGAACTTTATTTAAGTATCTTTAAAGCCTTCCCAGAGAATATGACATAAGGCAACATTGAAACGTGAACTGCTATTTTAGAAAACTAGTGTGTACCCCGTGCAATGCACGGGAACAATATTAAATTAACAATATTATAAATAGACCTCGAGTTTGAGTCAATGGCGGAAGTGAAAACTACTATTGATCGTATTTAAAGAGGAAGACAAAAAAAAATTATAAATAAAAGAGGATAAACAATACTTAATAATTATAAATTAAAGATTCGGGGTCAAACAATGTAAAATGATTTTGTATAAGAGAATATAAAAAAAATTGATTACACATCATTTCAAAATTATTATTATACTTTTTTGTATGGTTAGCTTAGAATATTTGTAAAAATATTAGTAATTAGACCGATGAAAATTAGCTTCTTAAAGTAGATAATGGATTTCTAGTAGTAATTATGAATTAGTTTCTATTTTATTTAATTTTTTCTTTTTTAAAGATAATAGATTTCTAGTAGTAATTATGAATTGATTTCTATTTTATTTTATTTTTTCAAATCTGTATAGATAAGAGATGAGATTTTTTAAACACCTAAGATCGTATGCAATGAGATTTTGTAACAGAAGAGATAAGCTCGTGTAGATTTATACTAAAAATAGGAAAAAGAAAAACAAATATTTATTGTTAAAACGATAAACTAAGAAACAAATCTTTACACAATTAATGAACGGATTTTTTTGCCTATTCAAATTTGTCCAACAATTACTATATATAGGATATATTTAATGATTTTGGCGGGAAAAAGTTTCTAAATTTGTAAAAAAAGGTTATTCTTTTTATATAATGATAGATGGATGATTAAATTTGCATATCTAAAAACAGAATTTAGAAACTGAAATTTCAGAATGGAGAGAAGATGCTGCTCATTTGAATTTTGAAATAGCTCCTGGAACAGTTGAGCAACAGTATTTATCATGAGAAATTATGCCGAACATCAAATTCATCTTCTTTACACATGCAATTAACACAAAGATCTACACATAAAAAATAATATTCAAACATCTCAAATAAAGCTATCATAAATAATGATTACCTTTTTAGAAAATTAGGATTTGGCAAACATTACACAAGAATCAAAAACAAGAAAATCTGAACTTGCAGCACCCAAATCAGATTTTTGCACAATTATAAATGTTTCAAAAACTATAATTGGGCAGTAGAAACTAAAGCTCGCTATTTTACATTTTAGCTTAAGGAAATCAATATATCATAAACAAACAGGACATATGCTAGAACTTTGGGGCAGACATTCTAGTTTATTAGACTGATACCTTTATAATACCATGCCACATCTCATTTGCTACTTATTGCACTAATTTTCATATAGTAGAAGCATTACTAACTGCTAAAACTGACAGATGAATAGCAAATGAAAGACATCACAAATATAGTAGACAGTCTTCTTGCATAGATTACCTGATTATTTGACCTTTGCCAGAGAAAACCATCATGTTCAATTATAGGTCTATACTCAGGACGTTTTGCTCGCTCCTCACCAGCCATCTTGGACAAATATGCATGCTCCATATTGCTGCATAAAATTTACCCAAAACAGAAGTTTCAATCTCAAACACCACGTCACCCCTTAAAATGAATAACACAAATAACTGAAAGCAAAAGTGATTGACCAAGCATCCTAATAACAAGAAGAGGACATCGATAATCATGATTAAACAATACGCAGCCAATACTACAAAACAACAGTTTCACACACACATTCAAGATTGTGAAGAATCAAAAATAAAACATAGTTCAGGACTCAAAACAAAACTTATAGCAGTGTCACGATGATGTTTCTTCTCTGGTTCCAGAAACAGAGAACAAAGTGTTAAACCTAAAAAACGATAAGTCAAACTCGAAAGTTCTACATATAGGCTGCATAAGAAAATCGCAGACGACACATACATTATTATTATCATGGAATTGTCAGGGGGTTAACAGTGACTAACTCAAGAAGAAAACATTATACAATACCGTTCAAAAGCAGAAATTGGCCGTGAATTGCGTAATGACTTAATTTTCTCTTCAATCAATGATCGTTCATGTAGTGCTGCAACAGCCGCCGCCACTTGAGGCAAAAATATCATACAATTCCCAACTGTTTTGCTTTTTACATTCTCTCCCTCATCTTGTTGGGAGTCATCAATGGCCGAAATACTTCGCACCAACTCTTGCCCCTCACAATCATCTTTCTCAAAATCACTAAACTTGGTATCATTTTGATCTAAAGGAAAAAAAGATGCATGCGATGCAGAGTCCAATATACACTTCTTCAATACATCAGCAGCAAAAATTTTCCCATTAACATCGCCATATAATACAGAGAACTGCAAAGCCAACCAAGCCACCACTTTCACCAAAACTGAGCAGTCAAAACTCTGGGTCTCCATAGTCCTGTTTCCAAACATAAACCCCCCCGACACGAAAGCCTCCCTAACAACCGCCTTTAAACACAACTTAACCAACAGAACCACATGATCCCTCATGGAAAGATCGATTATCACACCGTATCTAAGAGAATTAGATACAATCCAGTCGTTCAAACAGGATAGATTACAGTCTCTCAACCTCAGAACTGCACGCAGAATTCTAGAAGAATACACAGCCGGAAAATCAGCACCCCAGGCTTCGGTTTCACTATGAATCGCCAAAATTTCGGAAGGAAGGAACCTAATAAAGTCCACTGGGTGGCTCGCAGCTTCTTTCGCAGGAGGATCAACAATGAAGTCGCCACACTCGATATACAAATCCCTAGGTAAGTTTAGCAACGAGGACGGGGGAGTAGAAGGCGTGACAGGGCCGGGGCAGTTTTTGTAAAAGAAATTGGCGTTGTAGGCTATGTAATAGTCGAGAGAGATGGTGAGATCAGATGAGGTGGTGGAGAGAGAATATGGGGTGGTGGAGAGAGAAGATGGGGTGGCGGACTGGAGAGTGGTATGATACTGGAAAGTGTGTGGAAGAGAGAGTGGGGAAGGGCAATTGAGGTAGTGAGAGAAAAGGGATGAAGGAGAAAGACGGTGGTTAGGGTTGTAAGGGCATATGAGAAAGGGAGAAGAGGCGGCGGCGGTACAGATGGGAGTGGGAAGAGAACGGAGAGCGGTGGTAGAAAGGTGGAGAAGCGAGGTGAGATTAGATAGGGCAACGGAAAATAAGGGTGGAGGTGGTGTTGGCTGTGGAGGCAGAAGTGGTGGTGGTGGAGGCCGGGAATTTGAAGTGTGGGATGGAGGGAAAGCGACGGCGACCGTGGGTAGCGGCGGCTGTGGCGGTGGTGGGTTCATGGGGAAGGTACCGGAAAGTTTTCAGCTAAGCTCATCGAATTTTTATCCCATCGGAAACCATATATTGACAAGTTCTTAATTATTTTGGGTTATTTAACTCGGAAAAATATATTGTAAGAATTGAATTTTTGGTATTGTGTAATATTAGGATTTGAATTTTCAATGTTCTCAATGTTTTAATTTTCAGTTATTGACAATTAAAAGTCTATAAAAATTCTTAATTTAACGTATTAATTAATTTTGTGTTTTGATATAATTATATAAATCGGAATACTATTGCTTTAAAATTTATATTTTCAATACTTATAATTAAAAAATATTAAATATATTTAGTAAAATTATCTTATATAAAATTTATCTATATAATTTACATTTATGCAAAATTTTAATGATTTTTCTTTAAGTTAAAAAATATTAAAACTAAATTCTAAGAATGTGGTATGCAAAAGACCTCTGACCGACTAGAAATCGGCTTGACTCGAGCTTCTCGATGGTTGAAAGCATTGAGACCTGCAAAAACGCTCACACCCAAGAATTTTTCTGGTGAAGAACCTCAAACGCTTAAGTCAACACTTGTAGGAGATGAAGTCCAGTATAAGTGTATGGAATAATGGAGAATATAATGTGTTAAATGGCATACCTTACTCCTTTATATAGAGAGTTGATACCTTGTTGCCTAAAACTACTCGGGTGGGCTGCCCAACTGTCTGTTCGTACGGTTCAAACTGCCCGAACTGCCAATTCTATTAGGCCACATAACCTATCAATGTGTGACTCTTATCCTCTTATAATTCTTTCTTATCCCTTAGTCTTTCGTATTAGATCGCCTAATGGTGCGACCAACTCGCACTCTTGAGGTAGAATGTAGACCGTTCCGAGTCTAAGTGTTGTCCGTTCTGGTCCATCACACGACCAACCATGCCTACAAGTCGAGTTTCCAACAGGCCATCCGAGAGTCTTAGATTGACCTATCGTTGTCCTCTTAAACCCCTCACGCTCCTTTCGACTTGAAGACTCCTCGTCAGTGCTCGACCTTCCTGCTGCTCTACTTCGACCTACTGGTTTGCTCGATTTAGTTGGCCGGTTTATTGCGTTTGCTCTTTCGGGTATAGTATTCCATATCATATTAATAATTTTTATATATAACATATCAAATTAACCATGTGTTGATGAACTTGGATAATACATACGAAATAAATGAATAAATATATTTATCTTTATAATTAAAATTAAATTACCTATTAATATTAAAAAAATAAAGCTATTTAAATTAACTTTTTTGTAGATATCTCATATACATTATAAAATTATAATATAAGATTCTAAGTCGTGTAAGTGATTGTGTCATTTTTAAATATAAATAATAATAATATATTGTTTTGAAAAAATATTTAAAAACTAAAATAATTTTTGTTGTTATTACTATTTAATTTTAAAAACAATTTTTTTAATAAGTATTCGTGTAGTACACGGATATTGTACTAGTACTGATAATATTGGGGATAGTGATATTAAGTTAAAATTGAATTAAAAAAATAATTAGTTAAAAATATTTTTTTATTTTTTTATTTTTAAAGAAAACCATACCCAAGCATGCTCTTACCGGTTGGCAGACCGGAAGATGGCAAATTTCCGAATTGGAAACCCCGGTCCGTTTCCTTAAACCCATCTCTTGTCGAAAGACTCGAAACTGTCATAAACGACCCACACACTCCCTTATCTACTTCCCCCAACAACAATGGCGACCTCCATGCTAATCTACACTCCGTTCTCAATCTCCTCAACCTCCACCTCTGCTCCTCGAAACTCCATCACATTCGCGGCAGCAACGTCCGCTTCAATTTCCACTCCTCAAAGAAAACCGCGGCGGAAAAAGAAACAGAGCGACCTGAAATCCCCCGACGACCTTGGATATTCCGGAAGCGCCGATTCGAATTTCACGCCCTCGAATGCCGAGAAGCTTCTGAGGCTGGTATTCATGGAGGCGCTGATGGAGCGCGCCAGGAACGGCAGCGTTTCGGGAGTGTCCGATATCATCTATGATATGATTGCGGCTGGACTGACGCCTGGGCCCAGGTCGTTTCATGGTCTTGTTGTTGCTCACGTGCTGAATCGAGATGGAGAAGGCGCTGTAAGATGAATGTTTCTGTTTTCGGATTTTTTTTACTTATTTTTATTTTTTTAAATGATTTTTGCATAATTGCATTCTAGGTTGGAGCGTGTCTTTGTAAATATTGTATATGGCACAAAATTTCTCTGTTTGGAGGCATGAAGTTGCCTGCCTTAGCAATCATGCTATGCACGTTATCATCTGGCAAAGTGTTAGAGCTATATTTAAAATGTCTTAACTTCCTAGTTCAGCATAGGAGCTCAAGCTTAACTTGTTAATCTAGGCTGCTTGTCAGGACAATGATCCTATTATGAGCTTCAGCTCATGTCCAATCTGTGCAGTAAATGAACATCAATTCTTCTAGAACCAACGAGCTTTTGACAAGCTTGAGCTCGAATCTAACTGGACAGTACAACGTACAGCGATGTTTAATATGTAAAAGAAAATCAAATTACTGTCATTTGAGCTGGAGATCAGGCTCAGGCCAAGTCTGACCTGAAGAATTAGTGCCCACGTCAGGTCAATATTTGTTAAGGACAATATACTCTAAAAATTATAATCAAGCGGCATTGTGTTTGATAAGCATACTCTATTTGCTGATTGCTTTTAGTAGTTCCATCTTCAGTGGTAGTAAATTGATATTCAAGAATCAAGATACAAGACAATCCATCTTCTATTAGCTTGGATATACATATAATAAAACGCTCATGTATAACAGATGCACGCTCTTAAAAGGGAACTGAGTGAGGGTCTTCGGCCGCTTCACGAAACATTTGTTGCATTAATTCGTTTATTTGGCACAAAAGGTCATGCTACTAGAGGACTAGAAATTCTCGCAGCAATGGAGAAACTCAACTATGACATTCGGCAAGCTTGGCTTCTTCTAGTTGGTATAGTGTAAAGCTTGTTGATTGACTAGCAGATTTTGTGCACTTCATCCAAGTCTTATGAGTTTCAGCATGTAATTCAGTTTTGTTCTTGATATCAGAGGAGCTTGTGAAATGCAATCATCTCGAAGATGCCAATAGAGTTTTCTTGAAGGGTTCCGGAGGTGGTCTCAGAGCTACGGATGAACTTTATGATCTTCTAATTGAAGAGGATTGTAAAGTTGGAGATCACTCAAATGCATTGACCATAGCATATGAAATGGAGGCAGCTGGTAGAATGGCAACTACATTTCACTTCAATTGCCTTTTGAGTGTGCAGGTATTGGTGTTCCTGTTTAGATATATTTAAGAGATGGAATGGAAAATACGTCTCTTTCACAGATAGTAGATGTAATATTTCTGTTTTGATTTCATTATTTATGTAATTAACTTTACCTACCTGCTAGAAATTGAAACAATCAGCTCTCCATTCAGACCATTTTTGGTTCCTGGTTTTATGTTACATCTACACTAGTGTGTGGCCGTGCGATGCATGGGAAAACATTATTACGATTGTATTATAAATTAAATATATAAATAACATTAATCATGATTTATCCATTATTTTTAAATTAAACCGGGTTGGACACAATCCGACCGGATGGATCGAGAATAGGTTTATAACCAGTCTAGTTCGCTTGAATAAAATATTTGCTATCGAATCCTTCAACACCAGTCGGTTGGACTGGTAGGATCGATACGATTTTCTAAATAAATTTTGTTACATTTAAAATTATTTAAAAAAAATACAAATTTAAATAAAATAGAGATTTATGGAAAAGCAAATAGGTTGCTTTCAACCAAATCAAAGAATGAAGTCGGTAGTACTGAACTTTTTTTTACCGTACAAATGAAACGAGCGAAGTGAAGTCAAAAACCGCTCCGTGGGGTCAATTGCATCGTTTGAATTTATAAATTGTTTAGATATTTAAGTAACACACTTTATTTAAATTTATTACAAAAAGTACTATATATATCTATTAAAATGTTTATAAATTAAAATCTGAACAAACCACAAATGATTTAATAAAATAACTTGATCTTTTTGATGACGGTCCGGTTCTGAAAACCTTATATTTACTATACATTAATAAACATTATAATAAAATATTATTTAATTCACATAAATATTAATAAAATGATATACAAATATTCATAAATCATTAAACATGTTGTCATATAAGTATTGTTAATACGATTATTTGAAGTTTGGACTATATCGCATTCACGTAATAAATTTTTTCAATATTAAAAATATTAAAATTTATATTTAGGTTCAATAATCGATTTGGTCTTGTCAACTGATACATAACTCAGTCACCTGCGACCAACCAAGTTGTGTCAAGTTTTTTGACTATTTTAAATATCACTTAAAAGTAATTCAATCAACATGAGCAGTACGCTAATTCAATCACTCGATTGATCCAAAAAAATTTCCTTATTTTCTTTTAATATATTTAATTTTTATGAAATAATATATTTTATGATTCATATAATAAAATAGTATATTAAGATAATTAATTATATATCTAAAAATGAATTAATTATTTTTACTTTATACATCACATAGTAATTTTCAAAAAATTAAGCTTAATAGATTAATTATGCAATTTAAAGAATATTTTTAGCATTCACTATTCTTTATTCACTATTCTTTTTACAGGCAAAAATATAAAGACCGAGATTCTAAAAATTTTATTATATTTTGAATTAAGATTTGAGACTTTTTAAGATTTTCAGATTTTGAATGTATTTTATGAAATCTTAAAGTTTGGAAGTAGGATTTGAAGTGAGATTTCGTATAAAGTTTTTTTGTTTAGAAATCTCACCAAATCTTGAAAAGCCTTAGCAAATCCTAGTGTCAAATAAATTAAACACATCAGGATTTTATAAGACTTTTTAAAATCCCAAATGAATACCCCACGATTTTTAAAAGTCTTAACAAATCTAAAATTGAATACACCAGGATTTCTAAAGTCTTAAAAAGTCCTTAGAAATCCTAACTGAATACACCCCTATAGATCTTAGCCGGATTTTTTAAATAATAAAATAAATAAATCCCGAAAT